AGTTTATGTGTACATTTTTTTTCTCCAGGGACTTTAACTGGAAAGCCTTGAGGATTATTTTATGCTCCTGGATGTTAGTTGTTCCTAAGGATCCAGAGGATATTGGGTCAAAACCCAGTCTAATGCCCCCAGGCAAGTTCCTGGAAGGATTAGGTTCCCGTGGTCCCAGATTCTGCTTTCATGAAAATAATATAGATTATAGATTTTTACCTATCCCAGGCAAACTCTGTACAGTTTTGATCCCAGCATGATATTTGCTGTGATTTCTACAAACTGCATTCATAAAAGGTGCATTTGGGGGGTGTGCATTGTGTGTGTGTGTAGCAGATTTTACTAAAGGTTTCAGAAAGATTGAAAGGTATTTGTATGTCAAAATAGAAATAATGAGCATATATTCCAGCCACCTGCTGGGTGGCTTGACCTAATTTCTTCTTCAGTTCTAGCCTGTCTGTGCTCTCCTGATTCACCTCCTCCTTCTTCTAAGCCTGTTCGCTCCAATGTAAAGTAGGTAGTTTAGCTGTCTCCTTGTACCTTAGCTTAATCTGACCCTTGCTTTCAGTGTCTCATTCTTTTCTGTGTCTCTCTCCTCCTCCTTCACTTAGACATTTTCTTTACCATAAATCATTTCATTCTAAGAATCCTCAGAATTTCATAGCAGCTTTTAGAATATTAACTTTTCTCAATTTGATGCTTTTTTGGATTGGGTTCTCTTGTTCATTTTGATTTTTTTTTTTTCTTCACCTCTCCTCCTCAATTTCTTCCCCCTTTTTCTCTCCCTCTTCCTACATAAAGACACCATTTAGCTCTGTTCTCAAGCCTTTTCCCCAAAGGCAGTCTGAGGGTTGTCCTTGAAAGAAAATGGTAGAATTCCTCCATGTGATGCTGTGTGTGGATGTTCTGCTGGTGACAAACTGAGCCTCAGGGCTTTGTAGTAGGGGATTGGGTTGGATACTTTCTCCCTCCCCATACTCCAACAACTCTTTCTTAGTCCTGCATCAACAGCCTGAAACCCTACAATTATTCTTTTGAAATTTGTTTTGCAGCCTCTCTTTAAGGTTTGTTTTGCACCCTGATCTTTAAACTATTGGGGAAAGAAAAAGAGATGTGAAGTATAGGTCTGACTAGGCAGACTTCTCAAAAGGATAGGAAAGATAAAACAAAAACTTCCAAATTCTCACAGGCTGCTGTTACAAAGATATGGCAAAAACCACCATTTAACCTTTTTTAAAAAAAAAAAATTTTAAAGCCTGCCTGCCTTTTTATTTTCTTATTTTTCTCTTAGAAAATACTGATCCTTTTTCCAGTTCTTCCCAACATTGCAGTGCTCAGAAATACAGTTTCTGTTTAACATGGAAGGGAACTTCCTCTCTCCTATAGCTATTTCACTGTTTAAATCTTCATTCTGTTTACTGTTGGACCTCCTAACCTGGCTATTTCTTTTTTGTAGTCCTGGATTTGACAGGCAGCCCTTACATTCTTTTTGAATTCTACTCAGAGCTGCCTCTCTGCAGGAGTCTTGTTGTGATATGTTCCCTCAGCAACATGAGATGCTACTGCTCTTAGTGACTAAATTCCAGTATTTTTTTCCTCCTCAAGACTCATTTCTGGATGATTAACAGCTTTTGGAAAATAGATCGCTGCCTTTATTCTTCTGATATTTGAGTAGGCACACTTCAAAAAATATCTTTATGAAGGAATGAAAGAGAAATATGAAGTTAGAAGAGTGAAAGGTACATCTGGAGATTGCCTGTGGTGTAAGACTCCTATGCTGGACTATTCTCTACAAAGCCATCCTGCAGAAGCTAGGTGAAATGAGAAGAATGTAGGGAGTGTGGAAGAACACTAGGCTGGAAAGAAAAGACGGGTTTAAATTCCTGTTCTGCCATTTCCTAGCTGCATGAACTTGTGCAGGTCACTGAAGTTTTCTGAACCTTGGTCAGTTTCTTCTGTAGAAGGGAGAGAATGTGACCTACTTCTCCAGCATGGCAGATTCCAGCTAATTAGATGTTTTTGTGCAAAATATAAGAACGCAGTTGCACTGTGTGGACATAGCCCCAGGTGCACACAGCTGAGTGAGAGTTGTACAAGCTAGATTTCAGCGTATGCTTGCCCTTCACCTAGGCACCCTGGTACAGTGCATAACCTAAAATCCTATGCAGCAGCCAAGCTCCTAAAGTCCACCATCTTCTTCTATTAGGAGCAAGCGTGGGAGAGGGGTCAGGCAGGGGTACAAAAATGGGGCCCACTTGGTTGCTTAGCAGGGACTTAGCACCTTAAGAAGACACCTCCCTTTTTTACCTTCTGTTTAATCTTGCTTTTGCACTGATTCCTGTGTATTTTCATCATATCTTTAACAATGTCATATTAACATCAGTTCAAGGGTGTCACTCCTGAAGAATGTGCTCAAGGAAGCACATTCCTTTTCCGGGTGATCTCTGGCCCCCTCCCTCTGCCTGCTTCCCAGGTTGTTGAAGCATTAAATGAGACCATGAACAGGAAAGCATCTGGAACATGATCCTAAGCCCTGAATTTCATAGTCGTTTCTCTTTTATGTTTCTTCAAGATAATCTAGCATTTGTCTAGGCTTTTTCCTGGTGTTTTCTTTCATTCCAGGGGTTTCCAAAGTATAGTGCTTGAATCCCGAGAAATATGATGGATGCTCCATTGAGATGTGAAATGAAAGTGAAAACTTTTATCTATATCTTAAATTTGAAATAAATTAGCTTTTTGAATATTTGTCATATTAATTGATATGGATATGCAGTAATTATAGGAAGACATAAATATAGTGAGTGAACATAGTCAACATTTTTCCCTAGGTAATAGAAATGTTTGAAGACCACAGCTGAACTCTCACAGCTCTGTAGCCACCAAACCCTTTGAACGCAATCACATTTGTTGTTCTGCCCTGCATTCTTTTGATTTAAATAGTAAGTAGTTGCCCCCTGCTTTATCTTCTAAGACAGAACTTTATAAATCTTACAGTGAAACCTCCTCTCTTCCCATAGCCTCATTTCTTGTTATCTGCATAGGACATGGGAAGCAGTAAGCCTTTTCTGTAAAAGGTGCCTTGTTTGTGCAAAATAATTTGTTAAGATAAAGTCAAATTGGAATCCTTTTGGTTTAATCCTAGACATTCAGGAAAATAAGAATGTGGGCTGTGGGTCTAGGTGATTCTAAGCTAGATGACGCAGGCAAGTTACTTCACCTGAGTCCATGCTTCAGTCTCCTCTCCTATAAAATGGAAATAGTAAGAGTACTTGCTCTCATCCAATTGAGATAGCAGTTTACAGAATTAATGCTCATGAACGTTGTGAAAAGATGGTCAGTTGCATATTAAGCACAACAGAAGTTTGCTGCTGTCATCACTATAATCACCATCTTCATCTTATTCCATCGAAGAGGTGTCCTGCACACCCAGACTGATACAACCCTGAAGCGTAAGAACTATTGGCAATTTTGGATTCATTCCCTTTCTCAGCAAATATACACTGGTGGTCTTCTGTGTACCAGGCACTTTACTAAGTGTTGGGTGCTTCACTCTGTCGTCAGCTTCATGTTTCTACATGGTGTGCTGCTAGTTCCCTTGTCACCAGCTTGTGGTCACCTTACCACACTATAGCAGACCACTTTACAGCAGATTCAGTTTCTATGCCTGTAATCAAGATAAAGGACTTTGATGTTTCAACATCACTAATCACCGCTGTTACAGAATCACTAAACATTATGGATTTTCAGCCATTTGACATTTTAAGATACAAATAGACTTTCCCAGTGTTAATTAATTCCACATGTCCTTGCTGAATACTCTTTCGTTATTCTTCCTTTAAATTGTCAACTTTTTCTTCATAGAGTTCCACTTACATGGGCCTCCTGGGGATGATTGCTCTGGGTTGATTCAACGTGTATTCCTTATCTTCAAAAATGATGCATTCATTCTTTTTCCCAAATTGCAGTTTTTTGAGACTGCTGGATGTTCTTACTTAATATTCTTTTCAACAAACTGAAACATTTGTAGAGAGATGGTCATTCTCAATGTAACATTTTTTGTGAAAAGCTAGCAAATCTAGACAATTTTACTGTTGAACACTTCTGTATTTTATTCTCTGTCTCTGAAGGAGTGGTTTTTATAAAAGCTTAGTAAAATTTCCATTATATTAAATTCGTTTATATTAATCTATACATATAGTCTAGACTATGGGTAGAAAAAGAAAGGGAAAACAATAAAGACAGGAATTTCTTTCATAGTTTCTCCTTTTTAATCTTTCTGCTTCTCATACACAGACTGATACAATCCTTGGGAACATCTAACTAAAGACTGGTCTGAGAAGGTGATGTACTTCCCAGAACGATGACTGATTCTTCCAGAATCCAGTGAGAGAATTGCTAATTTTTTTTTTTTTTTTTTTTTTTTTTTTAGGCACTCTTAAGTTTCACTCTTGTCGCTCATGCTACAGCACAATGGCACAATCTTGGCTCACTGTAACCTCCACCTCCGGTGTTCAAGCGATTCTCCTGCCTCAGCCTCCCAACTACCTGGGATTACAGGCGCCCGCCACCACACCTAGCTAATTTTTTTATTTTTAGTAGAGACAGGGTTTCACCATGTTGCCTGGGCTGGTCTTGAACTCCTGACCTCAGGTGATCCACCTGCCTCGGCCTCCCAAAGTACTTAGATTGCAGGCTTGAACCACCATGGCTGGCTGCTAATTTTTTTAAAAATACATGGATTTTCCCTAAATATTTCTTTTCTTGTGGGTCGTTCTTATGTGAAAAACCACTGTTTTCTGTCATAATTTAGACATGATGAACAAAGTCAGATACTTCATTTTTCCAATATATGAACTAAGAATAAAATCTTCGTGCTGAAATTGAACGTTGTATTCTGCAGGCAGAGGAAATGGACATTTATTGGATGTTATTGCTGCTTTCTCTGCAGTAATGACATTATGAAAGCTCTTTGAGTAATATAATTTGAAAATATTATTTCTGTGTTTCAGGTCATGCAAGACAAGATAATCTGCCTTCCGAAAAGAGTGCAGCCTGCTCAAAACCACTCTTCCCTTTCGAATATCTCTCAAGCAGTTGCCAGTACCACCCCACTGCCTCCACCTAAACCATCTCCTGCTAACCCCATCACTGTGGAAATGAAAGGCCTGAAGACGGATTTGGACCTTCAGCAGTACAGCTTTATAAACCAGATGTGTTACGAGCGAGCCCTCCACTGGTATGCCAAGTATTTCCCTTACCTGGTCCTCATCCATACCCTGGTCTTTATGCTCTGCAGTAATTTTTGGTTCAAATTCCCTGGCTCCAGCTCCAAAATAGAACATTTCATCTCCATTCTGGGGAAGTGTTTTGACTCTCCTTGGACCACACGAGCTTTATCTGAAGTGTCTGGGGAGGATTCAGAAGAAAAGGACAACAGGAAGAACAACATGAACAGGTCGAACACCATCCAGTCTGGTCCAGAAGGCAGCCTGGTCAACTCTCAGTCTTTAAAGTCCATTCCGGAGAAGTTTGTGGTTGACAAATCTACTGCAGGGGCTCTGGATAAAAAGGAAGGTGAACAGGCGAAGGCCTTATTTGAGAAGGTGAAGAAGTTCAGGCTGCATGTGGAAGAAGGCGATATTCTGTATGCCATGTATGTTCGCCAGACTGTCCTTAAGGTTATCAAATTCCTAATCATCATTGCATATAATAGTGCTCTGGTTTCCAAGGTCCAGTTTACGGTGGACTGTAATGTGGACATTCAGGACATGACTGGATATAAAAACTTCTCTTGTAATCATACCATGGCACACTTGTTCTCAAAACTCTCCTTTTGCTATCTGTGCTTTGTTAGTATCTATGGATTGACGTGCCTTTATACCTTATACTGGCTGTTTTACCGTTCTCTACGGGAATATTCCTTTGAGTATGTCCGGCAGGAGACGGGAATTGATGATATTCCAGATGTGAAAAATGACTTTGCTTTTATGCTTCATATGATAGATCAGTATGACCCTCTTTATTCCAAGAGATTTGCAGTGTTTCTGTCTGAAGTCAGTGAAAACAAATTAAAGCAGCTGAACTTAAATAATGAATGGACTCCCGATAAACTGAGACAGAAGCTACAGACAAATGCCCATAATCGACTGGAATTGCCTCTTATCATGCTCTCTGGCCTTCCAGACACTGTTTTTGAAATCACAGAGTTGCAGTCTCTAAAACTTGAAATCATTAAGAACGTAATGATACCAGCCACCATTGCACAGCTAGACAATCTTCAAGAACTCTCTCTACACCAATGCTCTGTCAAAATCCACAGTGCGGCTCTCTCTTTCCTGAAGGAAAACCTCAAGGTCTTGAGCGTCAAGTTTGATGACATGAGGGAGCTCCCCCCCTGGATGTATGGACTCCGAAATCTGGAAGAACTGTACCTGGTTGGCTCTCTAAGTCATGATATTTCCAAAAACGTCACCCTTGAGTCTCTGCGGGATCTCAAAAGCCTTAAAATTCTCTCTATCAAAAGCAATGTCTCCAAAATCCCTCAGGCAGTTGTTGATGTTTCCAGCCATCTCCAGAAGATGTGCATTCATAATGATGGCACCAAGCTGGTGATGCTCAACAACTTAAAGAAGATGACCAATCTAACAGAGCTGGAGCTCGTCCACTGTGACCTGGAGCGTATTCCTCATGCTGTGTTCAGCCTACTCAGCCTCCAGGAATTGGACCTAAAAGAAAACAATCTGAAATCTATAGAAGAAATCGTTAGCTTCCAGCACTTGAGAAAGTTGACAGTGCTAAAACTGTGGCATAACAGCATCACCTACATCCCAGAGCATATAAAGAAACTCACCAGCCTGGAACGCCTGTCCTTCAGTCACAATAAAATAGAGGTGCTGCCTTCCCACCTCTTCCTATGCAACAAGATCCGATACTTGGACTTATCCTACAATGACATTCGATTTATCCCACCTGAAATCGGAGTTCTACAAAGTTTACAATATTTTTCCATCACATGTAACAAAGTGGAAAGCCTTCCAGATGAACTCTACTTCTGCAAGAAACTTAAAACTCTGAAGATTGGGAAAAACAGCCTATCTGTACTTTCCCCGAAAATTGGAAATTTACTATTTCTTTCCTACTTAGATGTAAAAGGCAATCACTTTGAAATCCTCCCTCCTGAACTGGGCGACTGTCGGGCTCTGAAGAGAGCTGGTTTAGTTGTGGAAGATGCTCTGTTTGAAACTCTGCCTTCCGATATCCGGGAGCAAATGAAAACAGAGTAACTTATTTTTCGTTAAAATTGGACTGAAACACGCTTCTACCAAATACAGTGTGAATAATTAGGTAGTGTTAATGCCTTTCCTATTTTTTTCTCCTTTACACACAAAACAAAATGTACACAAAGATTGAGTAAGGAATATGTATTTTTAATAAAAATTTAATGGTATTTTTTCAATATTAATATTTTAAAGTTTAATTTGTCTTGAAACACAATGTATCTATTATCTACTGACAGAAGAGATGGTTCCATTCGTTGTGTTTTTTTGTTTGTTTGTTTTCATTTTTTAGTTCATTCTTGTGGAAAGGAGGGAATTATAAGTTGCATGTTTTTTGGCATTTTTTTAAATAGAGGAAGATATTTTGCCAAGGCCATTTTTAACTTGTTTACACCTGTACAGGGTCCTTATTTTTGTTTTCATTGTGTGTGTATCAAGGAATCTGTGCTAGTTATTTTAATACCAGCTGCCTTCTCCATTGGCCAAGACCTTCATTCAGTGGAACTTCACATAAGTGCATTGTCGCATATTATCAGAGTATTTTAAATGTTCCTCTGCCTCGAACAAAACCCGAAATTGTATTATTTCACATACCTGACAGTTATCATTATCCTTCGACAAGGTTTTTGTGAGTGAAGAAAATAATCTTTAGTGGTTGATATGTTTGAATTGGTCATTTATCATTTAAGTTATTTGCATTTTACCAACATTTTAAAAATATTTAAAACCTAAATACAGAGGCTCTTCCCACCTTAATCTCAATACTGCTATGTAGTACTGGTGAACAACCTTGGAAAACCTAGATTTATTTTAATATTCTTGTAGGTAATTAAATTTAAAAATTATAGAATTAGAAGCCTGGTTTTTTGAGTAATGTAATCAACTTTTATATCTTGATATGTGGCTGCATTAGCTGGGAAAAAATTTACTAAAGCACCCTGTTAAAGAGCTGGTGTGCTCCAGGGAGGCCCTCTCCTTTTCTCAGCGTAGTGTGGCAGTCGTAATCTATTCAAATTTTGCCTGTTGAACAAAATAATCCACTTATATATACAGTCAGCCTTCCATACTTGTGGGTTCTGCATCTATGGATTCAACCAACTGTGGATGGAAAATACTCAAAATAAGTTGTATCTGTACTGAATACGTACAGACTTTTTTACTTGTGATTATTCCCTAAACAATACAGCGTAACAACTATTTAAATAGCATTTACATTGTTCTAGGTATTGTAAATTACCTAGAGATGATTTTAAGTATATGGGAGGATATGCATAGGTTATATGAAATTACTACACCATTTTATATCAAGGATTTGGACATCCTCAGATTTTGGTATCTGAGGGCATCTTGGAATCAATTCCCCATGATACCAAGGGATGGCTGGATGTTGATCAGTTTCCCTCAAGCCTGCCCTTGCTGTGAATACTAGTGCTACAGGCACAGGAACTCTTATCTGCTCTCTGGCTTAAAATATGTATCTTATCGAAAATTGTTTGTTAAAGTGTGAATAAATTGCTAAGTTGTTGTTGCTTGGCAATAATTTTTGCCTGACCATCAGCAGAGCTTTTATTCACCTTTGTCCTTAAAATCCAACATAGCATGGGCTCTTGGGCAAAATATTTCACTGACTATTAAGCATGTAGAACAGGAAAATGAAATACACTATTTGTGCCCTTGATGTAGAACCAGAAATACTGATGATGAGAACTTCGTTTTATGTACCAAATTCACATTGACCATTTTCTAAGCTCTAAACTGATTTAAGTAAGTTTTGTGACTTAACAATGAAAGAAAGTAGAAAGATGCTTTGGGTTTTCAAAATGTTGTTTTAAAAAATTGCTCCTTGGGTGAATTTACCCATTGCTACTTTGAGTTGTATACAGAAGCCAATGATGAGAATTGCTCCTCAGAAACGTGTGCCTAAGTTGTGTTTTAAACTTTACGATACGTGGTGGGCTGAAGCATTAGAGAAAGAGATTCTTTGCCAGCTACAGTGGCTCATGCCTGTAACCAGCACTTTGGGAGGCCGAGGCAGGCGGATCACGAGGTCAGGAGATCAAGATCATCCTGGCCAACATGGTTAAATCCCGTCTCTACTAAAAATGCAAAAAAAATTAGCTGGTATGGTGGCACGGGCCTGTAGTCCCAGCTACTCGGGAGGCTGAGGCAGGAGAATTGCTTGAACCTGGGAGGCCGAGATTGCAGTGAGCAGAGATCGTGCCACTATACTACAAGCCTGGGTGACAGTTCAAGACTTCATCTCAAAACAAAAAAGGGGGAAAGAGATTATTTTCATTTGTTTAATAATCTAAGCATACAGACCAAAGTGCTTTAAGTTTCTGCTCTATGTTAATGTTTTAGAATGGTTATTTTGCTAATTTATTTAGACCTGGAATTGAAATAGTATGTTCAGAATAATAACATGGTTATAGTTCTTGTATGATAAAGTATTCAATTTCAGAATATTGTTGGAATCCTGAGTTTGAAAAATGTGTTGTATTTAGAAACATAGCCCTGTTTTTTGTTTTGTTTCATTTTGTTTTGTTTTGAGACAGAGTCCCGCTCTGTTATCCAGGCTGGAGTGCAATGGCGCAATCTTGGCTCACTGTAACCTCCGACTCCTGGGTTTAAGCAATTCTCTTGCCTCAGCCTCCCGAGTAGCTGGGATTACAGGTGACTGCCACAACACCCAGCTAATTTTTTATGTATTTTTAGTAGAGGTGGGGTTTCTCCATGTTGGCCAGCCTGGTCTCAAACACCTGATCTCAGGTGATCCATCTGCCTCGGCCTCCCAAAGTGCTGGGATTACAGGCATCAGGTACCACACCCGGCCCTGTCTGTTTTAAACAAATAATTTATTGGCAGATTGTCCATGGTTGAGCATAAAAAAAATACCTTGTTGAAAGACAAGCTTAGGTAACTGCTGGCAAAACACTGGGTGCACTATTTTTCTGGATAAAATTTATACTTACTTTCTGTGTTATCTTTCAAAAGGGATCTCTTCAGGTTAAAATCACGTTTATGCTGAAGTCTTTAGGGGTTAACTAAAAATCTCATATGGGTTCATAACTGAAGTTACTAATACTTTATTTTTATCACTTGTAAAAATTTGCTCAAAATTTCAAAAAATATTGATTTGTTTTTTAATGATTTTGCAGGCTGACCCCCAACCTAAATTTTGATAACATCCAATAAGTCAGTATAGTTCTATGACTTCATGTTTTAACTAAGAAGGAAAATTCATAGATATTCCTATTAGCTTTTATAAAACTTCAAAAGTCTCAAACTTAAGTTTGAGTCTAAATTTTCTGACACTGGCCCTTTTTAATATTGTAAGTTTTTGTTCGTTCACTTTCTTAAGTAAAAAGCATTTAATTACTATTTAGCCTTTAAATGGGAAACTCAGGTAATGAACTGCTGACTTTTCTAAAGTTCTTTAACTGATCATTTCAGTATAGAGGGATATTGACCTAATCACTTTCTGTATTTTACAAGTGCTCTTTCTAAAAAGGAATAACTATTATAGCTCTAGTTCCCCAATCTCTATAGGATTCATGAAAAATTGCTTCGTATAAATATAAAAGCACCATATGTGTTCTTAACTCCTATGGCTGCTTGAAGCTCATGATGGATAAGCCTTTTGGTCAGTTTTAATTGTTAAGTACAGAACAAACAATTGTCTGTTGTGATGGTCTGGTTGAAAGAGAGCATTTAAGTATATCCCAGTGGAACTCACCAAAGAAGACCACACCTCAGAAACTACTGCGTTTTCTTGTTTTGTGTTGGATTTGATTTGCTTTTGTTTTTAATACAGCTCTTTTAATATAAAGATTCTTGGTACAGTGAAATCTCTTATTTCGAGTGTTATTCTTCACCCACCTCTTCCCCTGCCATTATATTTCCCAGCTATTTCAAGGAGTTGTAACAATTTGCATTGCATATTATGCAGTAGGTACTGCTTTTTCAGAAAGGCTTGGAAAACATACCTGCTATGAGTAGTTTGTTCAGATGTAGCCATTTACCTGGCTCTCAAGTCGTCTTTGTGGAGACAGTCTTAGACAAAAATCTTCCTTGTTTGCTTGGGATAAGTGAAGTCCAAATTCTTACAATATGCTATTTCAGGATTTCTGATATTTAAAAAGAGAAGAGAAAATCTTTATTGACACTTTCCCCAAGAAGGGTTGTGCTGTTATTTATTTTTATTTTCTATTATAAGAAAAGTCCATCCTTTAAGTAGTTTCTTTTACCCTCTAATTTCATACCAAATACCTGATCAATGGAAATGATATATTTATTTAAGCAGCAAACATTCCTGATCCATCATATGAAATGTGTCAGCAATAATTAGTCGTGAACAGATAAAATCAATTTCAATATAATTCCACTTTGTTTTTAGATACTAAATTAAGATTCAATTAACATTCTCCTCTGAATTCTGAATGTGATAATGTGATTCAAACAGTCACATTTTTAGTAGGATCTTAGTAACTCAGGATAGCATTCCATACTAACCTCAAGTTAGCAAAACAAATTAGCAAAACAGCTTGGTTATCAGTGAGGAGGCTGCCTAAAGATCAAGAAGATTTTCTCTTTTCTTTCTATTTAGAAACATTGCAAGAAAACTTGGATAGTCTTCACCAGACCTGCCATGATTTTTTGAGATTTAGGCCTCAGTGACATGCTTCTGAAAGTTTCCTGCCAGCCTTCCAAACTAAGCATCCACTCTTCCATCTTCCTGAAGTCACTCACCAATAAAGGTAGCATTTTTAAGTCTATTTTTGAGAGGTAAAGGAGAGTCTCTCCCTGCCAAAGGGAATTTTTTTTTTATCAGAATACCTTGAAAAGGGGATATATAAATTTGGAAAACTTAATTTCTTGATCGTGTTCAATAACAGTTTCTATGCATGGTTTTTAATGTGATATAAATGTGTTTCTTTCTTCAGAATACCTCTCTTCACTCCCACCACCTCATTCTGTCTATTTAATGAATATTTTTATTGGAGTTCAAACTCCATGCCTTATGTGCTCACTCAGTTTTCTTTTTTACCCTGTTTACTCTGTCTGTATGTATTCAGATTGTGTCAAATGCTGGCAAAACCTCTAAAACAGTCAAGAAAATGCTTGAAAGTTGATTTGTCATAGTGCAAACTCATGATAAAATGTCTTAATGTTATTTGGATATGTAGTATATAGAAACAGAAAAATAAAGTAGTTTTTTTAACTTAAAATAGAGAATTGTCTCTTTCTTACTCATTTTTAGAAATCATGTTTATTGTTTGCATTTCTTAAACTATTATTAACGCTCCCTTTTCTCTGCAGGAAATAAGCTGCATGCATTCTTTCACTTTGTGTTGAGCTAGTTTCTGTAATTGTGACTAATTATTTCCTTCCTTAATTCACTCTACTGTATCTACCTAAGGTGCCCCTGGAGTTTCATTTGGGTAATTAGTGCCTTAATATGTAATCTGGAGTGCAATTTCTGTGCATTTGCCAGATCAGATTGTACAATGGCTGTCCAGCTCAGCTTTCAGTAAATAGTCTTATAGTAATGACTGTGATTACTTAAAGGTATCAGAATGATGCTGCACAGCTAGGAGGCCTCCTCTAATTAACCACATTCACTCCAGGTTTAGGGAAGCCCTCTACAAGGAAACTTTGTGGCCTCTTATGCATAAGAAATGATGGGTAATTTTCAAAGCTAAATTTTCACTTTACATATATTTTAATAGTGGTTATTTTACTGATCAGTCCTCTGGAGAAGGATTGTTGAGATAAGGAAGGGTGGTGAGTGTGATGGGAGAAGCTGTGTAAATGTGAGTAGCAGAAATTAGAAGAGATAGTGTGAGAGCTCTGGAAATTTTGGAGAGAACAGCTAAGGAATGCAATAGATTAGAGACATCTGGTGATTTCAGTGCAATCTGCACATAGAGAAAAAAACTCTGCCCACTGCCATTCTCCACCGTCCCATCCTCTAGTCTTTTCATTTATACAGAGTATTGAGATAAACTCTGAAATTTTTTAAATTGGTTTAGTTATTGGTTATTATTGGCTAGCAATGTAAGCGTTTTGTTTGGGTGAAGAAGTGAATGAGTAAAAAGGAAGTCATTGAAGTTTGAGACTCAGTGGAGTATTTACACTGTCAGAGCACAAGGCCCACATATTTCTGAATGTATAACTTTGAACCTCATCCTAAATATCCAAGTAGGAAAAAAGTGAAAGCTGTTCATTAGCTACATAATTTTATGTGAGTATAGATATTTGAATGCAGACTACTGTAGATTTTACATTTAAACATATTTGAACACATTTCAGTCCAAATAAATAGTTATATGATCAGGCATATCATAAGTGATAGAATATTTTCAGTTTGAATATTTTGCATAAAAGATACAAGGTAGGCAATGGTATTATCAAACATCTAAACCAAATTGGCCATTCTGATTATTCAGGGATTCAGGGATTTTTCTGTTACAAAGTTTGAGAACAAATAGAAAATGGGCTTTCTCCTTATTTTTTAATCCTTTACAGAATTAATTTTATTTCAACTTGCGTTACATCTAGACTTCTTCCATTTAAAAAAAAATACTCTTTGGTTCCATTCTTACCAGGTAACAGACATCCTGGGAAAAGTGACACAAAAGAGGCAACCTCTAAGTTTTACATTTTTTGTCTCCTCCACCGTTATTCTAATTAAAAAAAAAACAACTCCCCAGAAGTGATGCTGATATGGCAAAAAGTATATAGCATTTCTTCACTTTGAATTGGGAAGGTTCTTGGGATTTTATGGTAATTTAATATAGACTATGTGTGACAATTTTGTTAAAATCATACTCTAATATTCGGACAGCTTTGGACCTCTTAAGATGATTTAGTCCAAGAATAACAAAAACCCATGCAAAAAGGTGAAGATGTACTCCCTGTGCATTTGAGCAATAAATGTCCATAAGCTTATGAGTTCTGTTTATGTCTACTGAGCTGTATGAATAAATTATATTTTAGTAATTTAAATTTCTTTATGAAAATTAGTTTTCAGGGTTGCCACTCTCAACAAAATTCTAAAAGGCTATGTACGACAATGATCTCTAAATAAAAACCAAGTTTTATTTCATGGGTACATGGCTTTTCTGTGACCCTTTCCAACAGGAAGTCAGTTTGTTCAAAATTAGAAGACTGTTTTTCCTTAACTCTCCCCAGGTTGTAGCCTCTGGTGGTGTGACTCATAGACTTTCCTGGTAATCACACTTTGAACCTTAACAATAAGAGCATTGCTAGCAGATTCAGTAGTTTTATGCATCTAGAAACAAATACAGGATGTTGACAGCCTTTAGTGATGAAGTATTTAAAATAAATTCATACTTGTAAAATTGAAAACTAGAGATTCAGCTTTAGTAAAAACAATACAATCTAAACATTTAGCTATGTAAATATTTTCTTAAGTCCAGATAACCTCTTAAAGAAACTCATTTCACCTGGTGAGGTGGTGAGTGCCTGTAGTCCCAGCTACTCCAGAGGCTGAGGTGGGAGGATCGCTTGAGCCCAGGAGTTCTGGGCTGTAGTGCGCTATGCCGATCTGGTGTCTGCACTAAGTTCAGCATCAGTATGGTGACAACCCTGTTTTTTCAAAAAAAAAAAAAGAAAACAAGAAAAGAAACTGATTTTGTGTCAAATGGGAAATACAAAGAATGTCAGATTAAACACATGGTTTATATTAAATAAGGCCGTCATCTGTTGGGAGGTAAGGGGAGAATGGAGCTTAGAAAGCAGCCCCCTGATAAAGGGTGCTTAACACACTTTCTAAAATTCAGAATGATTTGTTGCCCTTCAAATCCTACCAACTTTAAAATAATCAAATCTCAAGTACAGCAAACCAGCTAGGTAATTATTTCCAGGTACTTCCCTAACTCAGAAACTGCTAATGACTACTAAGTGAGTGCTTCAGTTATAAATCTGATCAAGAACATGCATCAAAAAGGCCAGAAAGTTAATTTCAAAATCTTACAGGAAAAACTGATAATGACGTTCTCCGTACCCCCCACCCCTGGCATTCCCCACCCTCTGAACCACAGCCTGTGTGCACATTCTTAATAGCGGTGCACTACACTTTGTAAGACAAAAGTTGAATTCTGGGTTGTTTTCAAATGTTTAGAATCATATTTTTTTTCTCATGTGTACAGGGAGGAAAAAAACATTATACAAAAATTTATTCAGGATTCTACAAATGCTTTAAGTAGATTCAACAATAAAGAAGTTATACTTACTCTATTTATGTGCTTTGATCAGACAGGGACACACAGAGTGTTGGATATCCATAGAAATGCCGTTTCTATCATCAGTTCTGTCCATCCAAATCTAATCTAGGGCCCTGCATGCATTAAAATCCATGAGATTTTTAAAGAGTTCAATACTTATTTAGACTTTCTCTGCCTCATTATTTAGGGCACTTATCACTTGGGTTGTTTTAGGGCCTATCATATCTTTCCTTGCAAAGTTGGAGGCCCATTGAGTGCAGAAACCAAGACTTCTTTATGTCTATATATCCTTGTGGTGTTTACCATTGTGACTTGAACCCAGTTGGCTCTAAAAAAAAACCCATTGAATCAATCAAAAGGCCTAACTCTATTAGCTGAGGGCCTTAGAACGAGAGGGACCATCATCTCTGTTCAAATTCATTCCTAGCTACATGAGTTTCTTAGGGCTGCCATGACAAAGTACCCCAAACTGCATGGCTTAAACAGAGATTTATTGTCCCAGTTGTAAAGCACCATGTTTGCAACAGGGTTGGTTCCTTCCTAGGACTGTAGGGGAGAGTCTGTTCTGTCCCTCTCTCCTCTCTTGAGAGTTTGCTGGCAATCATTGATGATCCTTGACTTGTAGATGCATTACCTCCATCTCTGCCTTTATCTTCATACGGTAATTTTCCCCATGCATATCTATCTCTATGTCAAAATGTCCTCTTTTTATAAGAACATAGTCATACACCCCAATGACTTCATCTTTACTTGATAATCTGCTAAGACCCTGTTTTCAAATAAGGTCATATTCACAGGTCCTGAGAGATAGGGCTTCAACATCTTTTAGGGGGACAGAATTCAATCCATAATAACACTAGGCAAGATTCTTCTCTTTCTTGATGAAGTTCTTAAACTCTAGGTTTATTGCAAACAGAGCCACTGAAGAGAGTAGTTAGTCCAGAGGTTTTCAAATACAGTGTTCTAAGAAGCTCTAACTCTCCAACAGAGTATCTTGGAAGGACTTAGGGAGTGAACAGGGCTCCTGGTTTTATATCTGTTCCAATTAATATTTCCATGCAACAAACCAGCCCAAAACTTAGTGGTGTAAAGCAACAACATTATGACACTCATATTCTGTAGGTAAGAAATTTGGCACAGCAGAGACCTCTTATTTATGCTCCATGATGTGTGGGACCTCAGTTGGAAAGACTTGATGGCTGGGAGCTTGAATCATCTGGAGGTATCTTCACTCCCATATCTGGCATCTGATTCTAGCTGTTGGCAGGAACCTCAGCTGAGGCTATCAGCCAGACTAGACCTCCCCATGCAGCCTGGGCTTCCTCCCAGCATGACAGCTGCAGGGTAGTCAGGCATCTTACATGATAGCTTAGGGCTCCAAAGCAAGTATTCCAAAAGACAAAAAGGATGCTGCATCACCTTTACTGGCCTATCCTCTAAAGTCTCACTTCTACCATACTCTATTAGTTAAAACAGTCATAAATCTTGCCCCATGTTGGAGCAGAGGCAGAGAAGACATACAACCCACCTTTCAGTGGCAGAAGTGCCAGTGTCACATCTTAAGAATATGTGTAACAGCAGATATGGTTGTAGCCATCTATGAAAAATACAATCTGTCACAAGATCTCACACCAAATTCTTCAACCATGTTTTACATGTAAGGACCGCTAACTCTTTAATGTTTGGTAACATTTATAGATAAGAAAGATAGGATGCCTAGTAGCCAAGTAACACTCATGAATTTCATACAATCTTTCAGCATATCCAGTGATTACCATAGAAAAGCAGAAAATGGACAAACCGAGTGTTTTCATTTCTCCTTTTCTTTAGGCAAGAGAGCCTGGCAGAAAGCATATTATGAAAAACTGCAAGAAAGCCATCATTTCATTTTATTGCCTCTTTAAAATCATTATCTTTTTGACAGGATTTCAATGAGGCACTTTTAGAAAATTTGGTTGACACTCATGCATCTCCTAGTG